GAACTGGATTATTCCTGAAGAAAACCTTTTTTTGAAGGTTGCCTTGCACACATCATGATAATTTTGCAAGAAAAATCAAACTAAAAAGGCAAAACAACATATATGCTGTAGAGGAGATGAAGTGCAAGGTTTTCAAAAGTCGAAAGATGAAGCTAGCTGCTACAATGCAGTAGTAATACTAGTGCTGTTCACAATTAGCAAGATACTGCTGTCAAGTTGAAAAGACACTCTGCCTATCACACAGACGAGTAATGTGGTATAAGTATTTCACTGTTGGTGTGATGCTTGGTATGTAGGCAGTATGTCCCAAAGACTGATGGATTGTATCAAACAGCATATCACATCTGTAGTTCATAACCAGCAAGGAAGCGACCATACCAGCAAGGATGCACTTGCTAAACTCAAAACAATGTCTAAAATAACATGTGACTTTGTGATTGAACAGTACTTGCTCAACAGTCCTGAGCATTTTTTTTATATTCATTCATGGGAGGTGGGTGTTGCTGGCTATGCCAATGCTACTGCATATTCCTAGCTGTTTTTCAGAAGGTGGTGGTGAGCTGCCTTCTTGAATTACTGCAGTTCATTTGTTGTAGGTCAAGCCACAATATCATTATGAGGAAGTTCCAGGATTTTGACTCAGCAAATTGTTTCCAATGGTGAACAGTTGAAGGGAAACTTGCAGGCAGTGGTTGTAGGTTTGGAAGGTGCTATCTAATTTCTGAACTGTACATTTTTCTATTCATTCACAGGATGAGGGCTAGGCCAGCATTTATTGCCCAAAGAGTCAGGTACATTGCTGAGTCCAGAGTCACATGCAGACCAGATCAGGTAAGGATTGTGGTTTAATTCCCTAAAGGACATCAGTGAACCAGTGTGCCTTTTTGATAGCATGCAGTGTTGTTGAGCACCAGTGCTGGAGGGAGTGAATGATTGTGAACCAGTCTAGCAGCTATGTCCTTTAGAACCCGATTAGCTTGATCAGTAGTGCTGCTACCAAGACACTCTTGATAATTAACATTGAAATTGACTACCCAGACTACTGTACTGTTGCCACCCTCAGGGCTTCCTGCAAGTGGTGTTAAATATTGAGGAGTACTGATTGTTAGGAACATGGGACATAATAGCCCATATAGCCCCTTGAGCCTGATATGCCATTCAATTTTATCATGGCTGGTCTGTGGCCTAAATACATATAGGCCTCCCTTAATACATTTGCTTAGCAAACATCTAACCATCCCAGATTTAAAATGCACAACTGATCTAGCATCCATAGCCATTTGTGGAAGAGATTTCCAAGCATTTTCCAAGCACCAGACTTTGTGTGTAGAAGTCATCAGCCAAGGAATGAGTGGTGTTGTATTGTAAGTAGCTTATGGTTTCCTTGCCATATTTGACCTGATACCATGAAACCACATGGAGTTCGGCATCAATGTTAACTTGATACTACCTTTCTAGTGACTATATACCACCATGCTGCCACTTTTGGTGGGTCTGTCCTGCCAGTGGATCATGACATATCCGGGAATGGTGATGGTGGTGTCTGGGACATAGTCATTGAAATAACTCCACAGAGGCGATAGCTCTTCACCAAGTCACCCTTTATTTACACAAGGAGAGTCCTGACACTGATTCAACTTCCTCATAATGAACAGGATGTCTGACACTTCTGTTGTTATCTGTCATCCAAGGCCCCCTGATTGGACCAGATTAACAGCCCCGATCAAGGAACTCATATTCTACGAGATCCAAAAACAGAAGTTGCTGGAAAAGCTCAGCAGATCTGGTGGCATCTGTTTCCTAACAGTGACCCTTCCTCAGAACTGATGGTGGCTGGGAAAACGTCAGTTTATATGCAGAAAATAGGAAGGTGGGTGGGGTAGGGAGTAAACGACAGGCTAGAGCCTAAAGAGGGAGAAGAACAGTTGGACAGACAAAGGAGTTGATAACGATCTGACTGGGAGGGTGAATAGTTGTTAATGGGGACTGTTAGTGACTAACAATAGTTAGTATGTAATGGCAGGCTATGTGACAAAAGGGCCTGGTGTGTGGGGTAGGGAGCTGGGACATGGAAGAGTTTAGGCCCTAAAATTATTGAACTTGATATTGAGTTCAGAGGGCTGTAGGGCCCCCAAGCAGAAAATGAGGTGTTGTTCTTCCAGCTTGCGTTGAGCTTTGCTGGAACACTGCAGCAAGCCAGAGACAGAGATGTTGGCCAGGGAACAGGGTGGTGTGTTAAAGTGGCAGGCAACGAGTAGTTCACGGTCTTATTTGCGAGCAGAACGTAGATGTTCTGCAAAGCTGTCACCAAGTCTACGCTTCGTTTCCCCATGTACAGGAGACCGTAATGTGAGCAGCAAATGCAGTTGACTAGATTCAGGGAAGTGCAGGTGAAGTGTTGCTTCACCTGGAAGGCATGTTTAGGCCCTTGGATACTGGGGAGGGAGGAGGTAAATGGGCAGGTGTTACACCTTCACCAGTTGCAGGGGAAGGTGCTGTGGGTCTGTGGGGGGGTTGGCAGTGAACAAAGTGTGGACCAGGGTGTCCAGGAGGGAACAGTCCCTGTGGAAGGTGGACAATAGAGAGGAGGGCATTATGCGTCTGGTGTTGGCATCTTGCTGGAGGTGGCAGAAATGGCGTCTGATGATCTTCTGGATGTGGATGCTGGTGAGATGGTAGGTAAAGCAAGGGGAACCCTATCACTATTGCAGGAGGGAAGAGGAGGGGTGATGGTGTAAGTGCGGGAGGTGGATCGTACCCGGTTGGGGGCCCTGTCAACAACGGTGCTGGGGAATCCTTGGTTGAGGAAGAAGGTGGACATTTCAGAGGCTCCCTTGTCGAAGTTGGCCTCATCTGAACATATGCGACGGAGACAGAGGAACTGAGAGAATGGGATGGAGTCTTTACAGGAAAAAGGGTGTGAGGATGTGTAGTCCATGTAGCTGTGGGAGTCAGTGAGTTTATAGTGTAGTTTATAGTACAGTTTATAGTCCACCTAGTTGACCATGTTGTAATCAGTACACTCATGGTCATGGAATCATACCTTACAGACAATGTTGGGTTGTCACTTGATTAGTTGTGAGGCTGTTCTCCCAATTTTGGCACTAACCTTCAGTTGTTAGTGAGGAGGCTGGGGACAACAGGCTCGCTGTCTAATTTCTCATGGTCATTTCCAGTGCCTAGTTCGCGTCCTGGTGGCCCAATTGGTTTCATTCCTTTTCTGAGACTTTTTTAGTGGTTTGATACTAGGCATTTTCAGAGAGCAGTTAAATGTCAACCACATTGCTGCGGATCTAGAACCATGTGTAGGCCACATCAGGTAAGGATAGCAAATTTCCTTCACTAAAGATGATCAGTGAATCAGGTGAATTTTTGCAAATCATTGACACTGGTTTTATGGCCATCATTAGACTTTCCCTTCTAGATTTTATTGTAAATTCAATTTCACTATCTCCTGTGGTCAGATTTGAACCCTGGTACCGCAAGCATTACCATAAGGGTCTCTGGGTTACTTGTCCAGCAACAATATCACTCCTTCATCACCTCCCCAACACAGCACACACACTGGACCTGTTTCAACTGAATAAAATAGGTGACATCCATTTCTCTTGTTCATTTCTCAGAGTCAACCTGTCTGGTTTAAAATTTAAACAAAGCTTGTAAGTTAACTGTCAGTCATTATTAACGAGTGCGTTGTCCATGGAAGTGCTGCTGCCAACCAGAGTCCACTTTGCAAACCAATCAATACTCTCTTCTCGTATAGTTTACTGTCTACTTTCTTAGTCCTGATGAGTGCAAGACAAAAAGCTTCAACAAAATATGTGACAACAAGGTGCAGGGCTGGATGAACACAGCAGGCCAAGCAGCATCATAGGAGCAGAGAGGCTGACGTTTCGGGCCTAGACCCTTCATCAGAAAAGGGGGAGGGGAAGGGGGTTTTGAAATAAATAGGGAGAGAGTGGGAGGCGGATAGAAGAGGGATAGAGGAGAGGATAGGTGGAGAGGAAACAAACAGGTCGAAGAGGCGGGGATGGAGCCAGTAAAGGTGAGTGTAGGTAGGGAGTTAGGAAGGGGATAGGTCAGTCCAGGGAGGACGGACAGGTCAAGGGGGCGGGATGAGGTTGGTCGGTAGGAGATGGAGGTGCGGCTTGGGGTGGGAGGAGGGGATAGGTGGGAGGAAGAACAGGTTAGGGAGGCAGGGACGAG